GGGCTGTGGGGCAGGAGCACACAGTCCCTGGCTGTACAGAGCAACACCTACATGGGGGTACAGCTATAAAACGTCAGCTGCTGATCCTTTCGGGTGTTACTGCCACTACTGTCATTTTAATACTTGCATAGTTTCATCCTCAACAGCTCCCCTGGTGAAGACATAAAGCAGCTCCCACTAGTACTTAAAAGGAATTAAATGGAAGGATTTCTATTTTTGCTATATGAATTTCTACCCCGAGGTTAATTTTGCTGGAGGAATTTTTTTACCCTGGGGCATAAGGGGGTGAAGGGAATGATAGTTTAACAAAAGCTAGCAAGCTGAAAACTATGTGCACTATGTATAGCTATGTGAAATCAAACCCTTTAACAACATCTCTCTCAAACCATTCAGCAATCAAAACAGGTAATGCTGTTTTTGATGACTCCTGATCTCTTCACAAAGCCTGAAATTCTACAAAAGCAAGAAGATGACATTTCTACTAGGCAAAAAAAATTTTTTTATTTCAAAAATTTTTAAAAAATCAGTAATACTCCCTCATATAAACTATGCAGACTATCAAAAGTCAGCTAGCTCTGAAACTGAGCCCTTTAATTCAGTTCAGAAAACTTTGGGCCCTGATCTCTCATTAGGACAAATAAGTACATTTCTCTTGAAGTCAGTTACACTGGTCCTGTCAGCTTGGAGAATCCCAGCTTTGTGATCACAGAAATGTTTTGTTTTTCAAGAGGACAGGGCACATTAAATAGAGAGTCCAGGATGTGGCCCTGCCTATATATTACTGTGTATATTACTGTTTTGCCACTGAAGGTCCAGCTTCGAGGCTGCAGAGCTGTCAGTGACCAAACATGATGGACCACCCATGGGCCTTTTATTAACCAGCACTTGTTCCCCCCTCTAATCCTATCACCAGAGTAATCAAAGCTGCCATGTCCCAGGGTTTGATGGAACAGCAGGACCTGGGAAATGAAAACTGATTTTGTTAACAAAGTCATTCCTGCCCCATGAATGCTGTCTCATTGGTAGAAAGCGGGGAGATGAGGTTTATTTGTGCAGAGAATGAGGCGGCAAAGAAATGAAAGGGGGAGAATGGTGAAGTGTGAAGTTTAATCTGGCACAGTCTGAGGTTTCTTTCTTTGAGGCCGTCTCTGATCCAATCAACACTGGTTTGATATTTAACATCTCCCCCTGCAGTTGGAAATGATACCAGCCAGAGGAGACCAGAGTCAGGGCTTCCCAAACAGCCAAAGGGGAGAGAAGGGGGTGCTGGCAGCTCCTCACCAGCCTGACAGCTTCCCTGCCAACAGACTGGCAGGAAGCTGGACCTTGATACAAAATTTCCCCTACAAACATTGGGATTCAAGGCATCTGCTATGAGCTGAATGCAGACTGTCCCTGAGGAGAGCAAGCTTGGGATAGGATGGGATGGGAAAGGGATTTTAGTTCTAATGTGGAGGAAGGGCTATGAACACTGTCTGGGACTGTGGACCCTGCTGAGAAACAGGATCAAACACAAGCAAGACATGCCACCCACCTCCCCAGGGAACAGCAGTTGGGGTAGAGCAGTAAGACCTTCCCCTTGCTGACTGTACAGACCTTCAGTGGGGACACACTGCAATCACTCCAGGGTGATGGGGGTCCCAAGACAGCCCTGGGCCATCAGGGAGGATGCACCAGACCTGAGCAGCTGCAGGAGCCACCATCACAATTCTCCTTACTCCAACAATAGCCTGGGGAAAGCTTCCCATCATAGACCCACATGAGGGTCCCAAAGAGGAGAGAGAGTTTAGCCCTAATCCCAGCTGGCCCTCAGAAAACACAGGGATGAGCCCTCACAGCCAGTAGTGGCTGCAGTGCCTCTGCCAGGATTCCACAAGAAGGCCTGCACTGTCATCTACCCCTCACCAATTCGCAGCCCTGGCCAACTTGATTTTTGCCCTTTTCTGGCCACTCTCTACATAAACATCAGTGCTGTCAAACAAACTTGTCTGCTTCCTCTTCTTCACCTGCCTCAGCTCTTTCTGTCCCACCTCCCATGAAAACCCTGAAATTTCAAATACCAAGGAGCAGTAAAATTTCAGCCTGACCCAAGCCTGCTACCAATTCCCCTGCATCCAGGCTCCCAACACTGCCTTCTGCTGGGATTCAGACACCTTGACACCAGCTCGACCATACCAGGGCCCGGACCAGCAGCTGCCAGAGTCCCAGGAGGTGGGATAACACTTCCCCCCAGGATCCAAGCAGGAGGATGGGAGTGATGTGGAAAAGCGGCAGGAAACACTGTGCAAGGGTTTCAGGGGGAGCAGAGCATCAAACTACAAAGTTTCGGGGTTTACAATAGAAAACAATGCTCCCTGCCCTACCTGCAGGAGCTGGCTCTCCAGGAAGCAGCTAATTATATGAGCCACCTTAATCTTTTTATCCGGCTAAGACAATCAACATTTCAAAGCCACGCACAGAACGTTTCAAAGATCGTTCCTGGTCAAAAATGCAAGTGTATCCACTTTCTTTCAGAGCAGATCAAAACCAAGTACCACACCGGGACCACTCCTAGATTTCCTCCTCCTCACGGTATCAGATTAACAGATTTGGTGCATGTAGTCAGATTAAATATTTGCAGTAGCACAAAGCTGCCTTTGAGGAGAAGAAGTAGGGAAAAAAAGCTTTTTTTGTCTTTTTTTTTATAATTTGCTTAGGGCAAAAATACTGGACTTTGGGGATGTGGGAAACAAAAGCATTGACATGATTCAGCAAGGCTCAGTCCTAAAACCTGAATTCTGAATGCAGAAATAATGTGCAGTGTTCCTGTAATAGTAATGCTGAAAACAGGTAAAAAACCGCTGATGCCCTTAGCAGATTTGGGACTATAATTTATCACAGATGTTCTCATCAAACTGTGCAAACACCCTGCGAGACAAAAGCTGCTCAATTTCTGATTTCCATTTTAGTGGGTTTTAATTACGTGTTGCTTAAGGAAGGCTCCAAGACCTGGAATTGGGAGGTGAAACCTTGCAATACTAATCCACTCCACTAAATTAGCACAGTAATACACCAAGCAGTAGGACTGCCAGACGGTGTGATAACATTACAAATTACTATTGTTAAACAACTAGCCAGGTGTCAGGATGCACGGAAATCTAGAGGAAGCAAGAAAATAAATATCTGGTTTGTTTGGTTTAATTTTGTCTCCTGTTGTTCTGGTGGCCTTTTTCCCAGAAAAAGCTTCAATCTAGGAAAATTCCTCCTGAACACTGATCTATTTCAGCAACTTTGTCAATTCTCTCTAACAATTAAAATGGAATGTATTCTTTTAATCAGCACAAATGTTTTGCATAAATGACTGTCCTTTGCTTGCCAATAGCAGTAATACCTTTACTGTTCTTTTTAGATTATTTTTGGAGCAAAATGAATGGGAAATTTTTGTTTCTATTTAAAAGTTGGACAGAAACAATTATGGTTAAGGGCAGCAGTGAGTTTTGTACTCTGTCCCTTTTCCTTTCTCTGTTGCTCACTCTCTCTGAAAAGAAAAAAATGTACTATGATTCACATTTAAAAGGCTTCCAAGTGCTACGTTTTTAACCAGGTGCTTTCATGTGCTTGATTGTAACTGCCATTTTTGACCTAATACAACCAAACACTATAGGATGTCTGGAATGGTTAATTATTTTTACCTCACCTTAAAGAAGGGGCTCATCAGAGAAGATAGGCACTTAAACCTTTCAGAGAGAATAGTGTAAAACGAATTCCTTGATTTGGACGTGTGTTAAATAATGCAAAGGTCCTGAGGGGCTTTCTTTTAATTATTTTTGCTGATAAACAAGAAAATACATTTAAAAGTGTATGGAACAAATTTGCTCTAAAGGCTGTATGCAGAGTTAAGACTCCTAGTTGAAATATGGATGAACCAAATGTTAGTGAAAGCCAGACTTTTTCCCCTTCAAATAGCTCCTACTGGACTTCAGGGGAGCAGGGGGTGAAGGCACTCTAAGGACATTTTAATCACACCGAAGATTAGTCCTTTAATCCTTATTCCCCAACATCACCAAGAATTTTTTTGGTCAAAGTAGGACAGTAAGATAAGGCTGGAAATAGACCGACCCAAAACTAATGACGAAAAGCAGGTTAAAAATGAAATATCATAGCAGTAACTGACACCATCTTAAATCTCCCCCGGATTATTTGTTTTCTTCCACACACGTTCATTTCCTCAATTTCTAGTAAATCTCATTTCACATAAACAGTTCCACAAAGCAAAGTCAATAGCTGTTACTGTGTTCCTCATTAATCCACTGAAATGAAATAGATCTCATGGCTTAGTATTTGGCTGTTTAAAGCTAAATCCATTGAAAGAATTCCGGAGTCCAGTTACACCAATAACTTTTGTTTCTTATCCTACCTCCTTTTCTGTTTGCTGAAATTTACCTGCTCTAAAATGAAATAAACCCATGCATATTGCACACTCAATTTCCCCCAGTACAAGGGCAGCATGAGCCACTTTGTTTTGACCCGGAGTGACCACTAAAAAGACGACTGACAGTTTGCATGCACTTAAATCAATCTGAACAATGTGGAAATTCCTATTTTCATTGTTCATGCTTCATCCTCTTCCTGACAAGTACCACAGAGCTGCTTTACTTCAAAACAAACAAACAAACAAAAAATCACTTTTTGTCCAGCTCCGGGACAGGATGGGAAGCATGTAAGTTTCCCTCACAAGTGGCAGGCAAGCAGACACACACATTCACACCCTGGACATTTGCCTCTCAAATAAATTATACACGTGATACACACGCAGCACTCCCCACGCACATCACGGGGGTTCTGCAGGCAGCACGGATCGGCATGATGGAGAACAGGCAGCCCAGCACAAAAGCTCTGGAGGCCCAGGAGTGACCACCCCACTGCAGAAGCTTGGGGTTCACCCCCATCAGCTGATGGAAGTGCAAGGACAATACACCCCATATCCTGGGATAAGACACGAGGCCCAGAAGCCTCCTTACCTGGGAGAAGTTGAGCCCATTCAGCGGGTGACACTGCTCCTCCACCCGCTCCACCGCACCCGTCTTCTTCTTCATCCTCTCGGCCTCCTGGGCGAGGTAGAGATCGAGCACCGGCACCCCTCTGGAGCGGATGTCCGTCTCCGTCAAGGAGTTCACCATGAGCATCACCCAGACCGGCCTCTTGCGCTCCCAGTTCCCGGCGATGGCGTTGAAGAGGTAGTCGGCATAGAGCCCTTTGCCCCGCTGGTCCGGGGTCATCCAGTGGGGCAGCATCAGCTTGATGTAGTCCAGGTGGCGTTTGAGGCGGCGGTACAGCTCCCGGGGCAGCACGTCCTGCAGGTTCTCCCCGTGGGGCAGCATCTGGCAGCTGGCCAGCCCCGAGATGGTGTACGGGTCCGTGAGGTCCAGCTCGAAGTAGACGCTGGAGCTGGCGTGGAAGGCGGCCTTGGAGTTGTCAGGGATGAAGTCCCAAACTCGCGTGTAGGGCACGTGGATGGTGCCGAAGAGATAAGCGGGGGGGTCACGGCGAATGGTCCAGAGGAAGGAGTTGAGCTCTCCTTGCTGCGGGGGAGACAGAGGGGCTGCTCAGTGATGGAGGGGCACAAAGGAAGGAGACAGCGATGCCACCCTCAGGGCTGCCCGCAGGGCAGGAGGAGCGGGCGTCCCGCTTCCCCCTCTCCTCGCACCAGCCCCACGCGGGCTCGCGGCGAGCAAAGCCCACGGGCACCATGAGGCCCGCGTGGGGCTGGTCCCGCCGTGACCCCCGATTGCCGCGGGGGACGCGGCCCGGGCCCCTCCGCGGGGCACACGCGGGGCAGCGCCGCCACACCTGTGGGGGCCACGCGCGCCCGCGCGCGCGGAGCCGGGTGGGGGGGGGGGGGGGATCCGTCCGCGCGCCCCCGTCCCGCCCGCGCCCCGCGGCCCCCGCGCGCCCCGCGGACACGCGCGCATCCCCCGCGGGCGGGCGCGCCCCCGGCCCGGCCCGGCCCGGCTCACCGAGCGGGGCAGGTCGCACTGCCCCGTGTCCATCTGCTCCCGCCGGGCCGCGGCGTCGGGCAGGAACCCCCCGAAGACGAAGCAGATCAGCGTCAGGTTGAGTTGCATCCCGCTTCCTCTCGGTCTCCTCTCTCTCCTTCCCAGATGAGCCTTTTTGGATTTCTAGGATCTTTTTTTTTTTTCCTCCCCCCTCCTCCTGCTCTTCCCCTTTTTTTTTTTTTTAGCCTTTTTTTTTTTTTTTATTCAAACAAACTTTGCCAGTCCCATCTGCATCTGACAAGTGCAGGGGGAAGGACTGGCTGCCCCCTCCCTCCCATGCTCTCCCCCCTCCCGCCCTTTCCCACCCCCACCCCCTCTGGCTCCGGGCTTGTCAGAGGCGCTGGATGCTTTGGGGAGGACGGTTCTCATCGCCAGCCTCCGCCATGCTTTGGTGTTGCAGACCGGAGACGCTCCTTCCCGCCCCGCCGCTTCGGGAGGAGGTTGGGAGGAGAGGGGCGGGGGGGGAGAAGAGGGGGAAAGGGGGGGGGGGGGGGGGGGGAGAGCAGCCAGAAAGTTTAAAAAGTTTAAACCCAAGATTTTTTGGACTGTTTTTTTTTTTTTTCTTTAATTCGGCGGTCCAGAAGGGGTTCCCGCGGCGCCTTGCGGAAGGCAGGCGGTGCTCGGCAGGGCGGCGGCGGCCCCCGCACTCCCGGCCCCGCTCCGCGCTCCCCGCTCCGGAGGCCGGACCCGCGCGCCGGCGGAAAGTTCCGCGCAGCCGCCCCGGCCCGCCCGCGCCTCCCGCCGCCAGCGGCCGCCGCCAGGGGGCGATGGCGGCCCAGCGGCGGCCGCGGCTGAGGGGCGGCGGCGCTTGCCCGGCGCCCGCCCGGCCCGCGGCACCTGCGCGGCGCGTCCCGCGCGTTAAACACCAACAAACACCGGCAAGTTCCGACATCCTCACGCTCGATCAGTTGACAGAGTCAGTCCGACGGGGCTTGTCACGGGCAGGAACCGAGGGCAGCCGGCTCTGCGGGGGATGCCCTGGGGCGCCCCCGCTCAGCCCGCGCTGACCCGCGCGGTCAGGACGTGTCCGGCTTCCCCCGGCCCCTCCGAGCCCGGCGGGGAGGGCAGCACAAGGACGTGGCCCTGCATGGCGCGGGCAGCACCGTGCCGCGTACCTCAGCTGTCCTCACCGGGACCCCTGCCTCCTGAGCTGCACAGGAGGAGGGAAGGAAGGAAACTTGGGAATTTTCAAACATGAATCATTAGCGATCCATCTTCCACTTGGACCGAAAAGCCTCAGCAACGCGACCTGAGGGGTGATTCTTGGTGACGGGAGCACTTCCAGGATCCCTGGGCGTCTGGAGCCCTCTGTAGAGGTCGTTGCAGAAGGCGTTTGAGTTCAGCAGCTCCAATTCACACACTTAGCGTGCGTTTAAAGAGTTTCTGAGCAGAGGACAGGCTGGCAGTGCCTGTCACCGTCACATGCCAGAACTCCTGCCTCTCCAGATCCATTCCGGGCAGGGATGGGAGTCAGGGTGCCTGACATAGCCCATTCTCCCCTCAGGACACTGCCCAGCCCCAGGTATCACCCTCATCCTGCTGTGTGTAGCAGAGCCGATCTGTATCCTGGCTTGCCCATCACCTCCCCGACTGCAAACCCTGTCCAAAACTGGGAAGTTCCTCACTGTATTGGTAATGATCAAAACTACCAAAATTTACATGATGAAATGCTGTCATTACTATAATGATGCACGGAGCCAGCAGAGTTTTGCCAAGGACAGTGACTCAGGCCCACCTGGAAGTAAATGTGGCTTCCTGAGGGCCCTGTGGAGACTGTGAGAGACGCCGGTTGCTGTGGTGCCTGATGGACCAAAGCAGCCGCAAAAGCTGCTGAAAGGCATTTTGGAACCACAGTGTGTGCATGCCCTCCACGCTGCTCCTGCCAGGGGAGCATCCTCCTCACCACAGTGTTGGAACCAGCAGCTCCTCTCTAAGTAATGCCACTCATCCTCTTCTCTCTCCTCCCAGATCTCCCAGACAGGTAAAAATCATGTGGAGTAAGGGACTGATTTTTCCTCATTGTGTTTCTAGCTCTTTAATATTTCAAATAAATATTCCATTTTCTGATTCCACCCTGAGACATACAGTTCAGATAAGGGAAAAGTAGAGAAGAACAGAGAGGCAGAAGGATTTTTAGCACACAGAGTGTCTCATCGCTGCAGCACTGGATGGTCCAGTGAGACAACCAAGTCATGGCTGGGTGCTGGAGTCACCTGTGGCTCTGTGCTGTTGGGATATGGAGTGGCAGCAGCTGTGTGTGTGTTTGCTCTTGTGTTTGCAGTGATTGCTCTTGTGTCCTCCCCACCAACTCACTTCCCTGGCATTGCTGGTGTGATGGCACAATCCCACAAGGACAGGGAGAGCAGGGCCTGGCTTCATGTGCCCACAGCATCTTTCTCTCTGCAGCAGCCCCACCTTTCTCCCATGTGTGCCTCAGAACATAGTCCCAGCCCGCCCACCCCAAATGTGCCCAAATGTCACTGTAGCTGTGCCCAGACCTGAAATTAAGGTCCAGAGCGGGAAAGTTGTGCAGTCCATGTCCCAGCAGATGTCACACAACAAGGGCTAAGTAGAGTCACAGCACAGGATCCTGTTGCTTTTCCCTAAGCTGCCACAAACTATTTCAATGCTACATACAGACTGGATGCTGTCATGACCCTGTAACACAGAGCTGCATTTGCTCCACCTGGATCAAACTCTCCTTGCATTCAGCAAGGGCCATGTCCAAAGGGGCATGGCTGCACTTGCCTGGCTTAGTGGCTTTGACTTGATCTGCCCAAATCTCTTCCAAAGCTGTGAAAGAACAGAGGGGCCTCGTCAGGAGGCTGGTGGGGACATCAGGAGTGACGTGACCCAGAATCTCACGCCCTGGAGAAGACGCCTGGGAGGTCTGTGAGGATGTGAGGCCCTGCTCAGTGCCGGGTGCTGCGCTGTGCTGTGAGGGAGGCGATTGCCCTCATCGATAGCATACATATCAAAGCACCCAGGGCAAGAATAAACAAACATCTTTGGCACTGTGCTCATCTTCCATGAGCCAAAAGGCAGGTGTGTGTGTGTGAGTGTGTGTGTGGATAGTGTGGATAGCAAGTTTTCCAGCCGTTTCCCTGAACTCAGCCCTGATGTTGCAAGAACGGTCTAGCTGTGAAAACACGGCCTCGCCTTGATTTATGCCGCTTGTGGGTAAGATGACTAAGAAGGGGGAAAAAAAAAAAGACCAGAACAGGAACAGAAATCCCAGTGGGAGCATGATGAGGGTGTGTACAGATTTGGTGGGACAGTCAGGTTGGGGAAACTGCAGCCAGAGCTTCAGGCAGTAGGAAGAGGAGACCACAAAACCACATGATATGTGTCATGATGTTCCACCTAAGATACAAAAGCATGCCACAAGTTTCATGAAGGCAACTCTTTGGTAACAGTAAAGAAATTAATTCTTTTGTGAAATTGTAACATTTTTTTTCTCCTTCGGATGAGTTCCATATGTCCTCATGATTTTTACTTTTAAACACAGCAGTTTAGAACAAATCTTAAGTAACATTTAGCCTGCGTCTAAAGTAAATATTTACAAAAACATTAAATAATGGTGCTGATCTTTGGAAAATGTGTATTGCTCCCTACCTGCTACTGTTTTTTGCCTATCTGGACTAACAGAGAGGCTTTGTAATAACGCCTAAGGCTGTAAAAGCAATATAACAGTGTGATTAGAAGTAATCAGGTGGAAAATACTGACTATTAAAAACTGTGAAGAGAAAGGAGGGCTAAGCTGAAATGGAAGGTTATGTAAGTTTAGTTTTAACAAATTTTAAGAAAATTAATGGGAGAATTGGCTTTTAATCTTACAAAAGCTGCATTATTTTTGCAGAAGCATAATAAATAGCTATAGCTGTTATTTATGTCATGTATCATTTTCAAAGAACCTTACTAAATAAATATTAATCATTTCACCAACCACTTAAAGGCAACCACTTTAGGGGTGCGGTGAGGCAACAACTTACCAAGTGAGTTGTGCTTAAACAGAAAGTGAAGACAGCCAGATTCAATAAGGAGTCCGTGTGGGTATAAAAAATATTTGTGGAGGCTTTAACAATATGTTCAATGAGGTAAGACAAAACTCCATGGAATAGAGGGTAGATTTCTTTGTTAATGAGAAGCATGCATTGAAACTTGTAATTACAGTGAGTTTCCAACAGGTAAAGAAGATTATTAGATCTGAGAGAAAACAGCTTGTGAGAGATCAGAATTTGCATGCAGGGAAGTGTAACATTTTTTTAAAGAATGTTCTCCTCTCTGCTCACCTTCCTCACAGGAAAAGCACCATATTGCTGGCCTGTGATGTAGCAGTATTTCCCTGTCTCCACCTTGGTGTACTTTCATTTGAAGGCACCTGGTGAATTTCAGTCTCTGCATTTCTTAAAACCTTCCTGCAATAAGGAACTCCTTACTGGAGTGGCCAATGGCTCTCCCCAAACCTCTCCTGTGTCAAAACTGGAAGAGTAAGAACCCAGCTTTTCCTTTTTCCATGAATGAAGCTGAAGGTGTCTTGTGCTCCTACCAGAGATGGTAGATGAGATTCAATCTTCTTCTATGCTACAGGTCACAGGACAATTTAGGTTGGAAGTAACTCCCTGAGGTTTCTGGTCCAACCACTCTGAGCAGGGTTCATTTCAATGTTCGATCATGCTGCTGAAGTTCAGTTAAAGATGCTAATTAGATTTCTTTACTCTTATACACAGGTGGCATTCTCTGTAGCTGTCCTGGACTCAAAAAAGTATTAAGCCTAAAGCAGTTGCACCACTAGCTGTCATGCCATGACTTGTTATTTGCTGTGACACCTGTGCTGTGATGTGTCTGGCAAATAGATTTTCCTGCAGAAGATTGATTTTGATGTTGTAGTCGCATAAAACATCGTTGCTAAGCCATGCAATTCATGATTTGAAACATGCAGTTGTCAGATGGACAAGCCTCCACTACTTAAGGCTGTCATGCTGAAACTGCTGAATTACCACAACTGTTTCAATGTTTCACATCTTTTTTTTAATGTGTGTTGCAAGCAATACAATGTAGTCACTGTT